AAGCGCAAGTCGAGGTGCTTCATGCGGCTGTGGTGCTCCGGGGTCTTCGCGACAGACAGCACAGACTGGTTGTCGATGAACAGAGGCGAAGCGGCGTCCAACGGCATGCGCATCTCCTCGTGCATGTTGCGCACCCAGCAGATCTCCTTGCCCGCATCCACAGCGGACACGAACTCGGCCTCTGTGGTCGACAGCGTGACGAGGGGCTGCAGCTTGCTGCTCCAAGAGATCGCGCCAGAGCCTAGGACGACAAGGTACGCTCCAGTCGACCTGCCAGTGTCCCTGTCGCCACCGTGGTCCGCGTCGGCGTACGTCGTGAAGCGCGAGGTCGCAGAGGGGTCAGGGCGGTAGGTGAACTTGAGATCGACAGTGTGGCGCAAGTAGCGAAGCAGGTGCTTGACCGCCTTCCAATGCTGAGGCCCTGGGTTCGAGGAGAACCGTGCGAGGACGCCGACGGTGTAGGCGATGTCCAGACGCGTGCACTGCGCAAGGTACATGAGAGAACCCACTGCAGAAAGGTACTTGACACCTCGCATCTCCTCGTGCTCCTCGTCGGTCTGGGGCGACATAGACGTGCTGAGACGGACACCAGGATCCATGGGAGTGGGCACAGGGTTGCAGGTCGACATGCCGTGCTCCTCAAGGATGTCCAGGATGTACTGCCGCTGAGAGAGCTGCAGGACACGGTTGGGGCGGTTGCGAAGGATCTGCATGCCCAGAAGGAACATCGTGGGGCCGAGATTGCGCAGCTTGAAGCGTACTTCAAGGTCTTGGATGACGCAGTCGATAGTAGTGGCACATGTATATATGAATCCATCTATCCATCCGATCCCATGTATCTGATAGGCATATCTATTGTATCAGCGTCCACGTATTCGCTGCATCTGTGACTAGCCAGCGTCAATCACCCTCATCCAGTCTGTAACCACTCTTATACATGTGCCACTACTACCTCACATGCAAACTGCTTGGTCAACATGTGACTGGGTTCCATCACATGTGTGCCTCAAAAGTGCCCGCATGCACAGCGCAGCAGGGACTCCTACAGCGACACCTCACATCCACTAGGACGACACAAAGACAGACCCAGCAAGCGGACTCTATAGACGCCTCCCTCCCAACACACTGGCAGTCCTCGCCAAAAACCTGACCCCACCCACCACCCCTCTGACGCTGGTGGCCCTTGAAGGTGAGTACTTGGTCATCTCTGTCCTGTATTCAATATTCACTGACACCTTGTTCCCTGCATTTAGATGTCGAACACAAAGCAATGAGCTTCCTTGACTCTGTGACGCATTTCGACAACACGGTGCCAGATGGCAGAAGTGCCGACATCACCCCCATCCGTAACAAGCTCCTGCGGATAATAGGGGAGGGATTTTGCGTCCTGGTAGGACGGGCAATCACCAACAGGATGTGGCGAGCTGGATCACTCTCAGGGGCAGCATTGATGAGGCGATCAAGGGAAATGAGGATTGATGCAGGCGCAAGGTGCAATTCGTCTGTGAGGTCTACCGCAGCCTCATTGTTGCCCTGTTGCAACTTGATGAGGTGAGTATAAGCAAGTGTTACCTTTTTCATGCTGACATATCATCTTTTGGCACACTGGGACCCTGTTTAATGACCTCGACAGGCTCTTCTTCAGGGGGAAGATAATTGCCTAGGAAAAAGGTGCATTTGGGAGTTTCCTTGAGGAGCTCTGCTGGAGGAGCAGCAGATGACGTTGAGTGTTATAGCCCAGGAAAAAAGCAGACCGCCCAGCAAGGTGCAGTGCTCACCGTTCAAGCCTCCATCGGCCCACTGGTGGCTGGGCAAGAGGTTTCCATGATGCTATCCGTTAAAATGACTGCACCCACTGCGAGCGCTGCACACAGCCTGTGGCAAGGCCCACAGTGCAGCAGCGCCCATGGCACCCCAAGCCTCTGTGCAGTGGCCTATGGCAGCTTCTACAACCCAGGCAAGGAGGGCTTGGTGCTATGCATGCAGTGCTGTCTCTGACTGCACCTGCCCCCACACCGTCCAACTTGTTGGAATCTGCTCACATACATAGCAAGCTCGGTTGTACTGTAGCTGTGCTTAGTCATCGCATAGATAGCCACCATCCCTCATCCTGCACTTGTTTGCCTTGCCGCCCACCACCTCATTCTCTCCCGCATCCGTCTATATTCGCCTCCCAGTGCCCATAGGGACCAAATGGGCCTTAACAATTGCCTTTACCCCACGTCCGACCTCAAGAGGCTTTCTATCACAAACACGCCAGCCAATGGTCTTCCACAGGGCGTGTTTGAGGACTATGAAGTGGACAATGACAGGTTTGGCTGAGGTGGGCACGAGACACGTGAGCTTGTGCGAGTGGGAGCAGCTCCCTTGAGAGCGCGTTTGCGCTGCGCAACAGGTGCGATAGGTGGCGCAGAGTCCTCGCGCGGTGCAGGGCCAGCAGGCAGAGCGTTGGGCAGATCGACTTTGATCTCAGCCTCCTGCGCATCCTGTGGTGGATCAACAGCAGGCTCTGGAGGAGGCGGCACAGCACCCCCCTGATGCGCCACAGGGTGCACAGGCTCAGGCGCGTCGTCGAAGTGGTCGAGCAGCAGCAGAGGAGTGACAGCAGGGGCAGGGAGGGTGGGTCGAGTGGACGGCTGTTTGAGGCCAGAGAAGTATCGCTCATTGAACTCGGCGCGCTCGCTGACGGTGACGCACTTGCTGAGTGGATCGTAGAATTTCCAGCCCTTGATTCCCTGTGGATAGCCAATGAAGACGCATTTCTCCATGTGAGGAGATAGACCGTTGTGTTTGTCCTTCTGGATGTGCACATACGCAGTGCAGCCCCAAACGCGCAGGTGCGATACGTCCGGCTTGCGTCCATGCCACAGCTCGTACAGTGTCGCGTCTGGACACGCAGAGGTGAACGAACGGTTGAGCACGTGAACGAGGGAGAGGACGGCTTCGCCCCAGAACATCTGAGGCAGCCCAGACTCAGACAGCATTGTGATCACACTGTCAGCGAGCAGGGGGTTGGCGCGCTCAGCGACCCCGTTCTGTTGAGGCCTGTATCGACGCAGAAGGCATTGATGTTGTTGGACATGTATTCACCACCCTTGTCATCACGCAGAAAGCGGATTTGCCAGCCCAATTGCGTCTCGAACCACGCGACGTAGGCCTTGAACGCGGTGAACGTCTCATCCTTGCGCTTGAGCAGGAACACGACGCGATAGCGCGAGTAGTTGTCAACGAAGATGAGCCAGTACTTGTAGCCCTGGTGCGTCTGCTTGGGCATTGGTCCCTTCAGATCGGTGTGAATGATGGCGCTGCGCTGCGATGTGCGCGAGGACGACGAAGGGAATGGATTGGCGTGCATCTTGCCTGCGAGACAGGGCTCGCACAGTGGCTCAGGGCGTGCTGACGACTTCAGGGTGAGGCCAGTGACCAGATCTTGCGCGTGGAGTTTGCGCACACCATCGATGTGCGAATGGGCGAAGCGGCGATGCTACAGCTGCTCGTCGAGAGGCAGAGTGGATGCGATCGCAGCGCATTCAGCTGGTGCGAGAGGGAGGGGCACAGTGGTGCCAGCGAGGTAGGCGATGTTGCTGTCCGCGATAGGGGCAGCGAAGAGCGTTGAGCCGTTGAGAGTGAAGTCCATGCGCGTCGAGCCAATCATGACGGTGAAACCGCGGCGTCTGGTGAGGAATAGGACAGAGAGGAGGTTGTTTCGTAACGCAGGGACATGTAGGACTCTTGTAAACTCAACATCGCGCGCATCGCGCCCTCCCAGCACCGGCCTGAAGACTACCGACCCAACGCCCGACGAGTAGACGACTTGATTGTCCGCTAGGCGGATCGCGACGCGCAGGGGCTTGTAGTTGCGCAACCAGTGGCGATGGGGCGTCATATGAGACGTGGCCCCAGAGTCTGCAGTCCATCGCACATCAGCATCGAGCTGGAGAGGCGACATTGGGGAGGGGCAGCGGAGACTTGCGTTGCCTGCGAACTCGGTCGCGCTAGGAGCGTCGGACTTGGGCGCAGGGCTGGGCGATGAAGCGTCAGCCTTGTTCGCGCGTTCCCTGCGTCCAGGGCGGCGTTTGACGTGTGCGCCCTCGAGGGCGTTCCACATGGCGATAGGGTCGTCTTGTGCGCCCGCAAAATGCGCTCATTGCTCGGGGGTGACAGCCAGGAAGAGCTCACCAGCTGCCTTGTCATGACGTCGCCTCCAATCCTTCCGCTCTGTGTCCTGATCCGCAGGTGGCTCCGACTCCTTCGCGTGCACAATGCTCCAGAGGTCATGCTTCATGAGGGAGGCCCGCATTTCGCCGCTCCATTGAGGGTAGTTGGCAGTCGATAGGGGCGTGATCCGAGGGGAGGATGAGTGCGACATGGTGCGAAGTGTAGGGCTGAAATTGCGAGAGAAGGGGACGCAGATGGGGGCGATAACGAGCAACAGATGGTGGAGGGAGAGAAGAGCGACTGGAAATATGCGAGGCTGGATGGCACCAGGATAGGGGTTTTTCGGCGCAGAGTGCGTCCGGATGACGTCCCGTGAGGATAGGGGTGTGTTGGTGCGCTCAGGAGCCGGAAGGGACGGCGGGGGAGCGACTGGGAAGCGAACACACGCAAAGGAACACGTCCTGACTGCGATTTACGGGTTGGGAAGAAGGGGAAGGTGTAGGAAGCGTAGGGGGGACGATTTGGACGCGATTAGAGCGCAGGGCTCAGAACCTGTTGAATCCTGGGCCTCTGGCGACTTCTGGAGATCCACACGCACTCTAGAGGCTGTGGTGAGAAGCTATATCGAATAGGGGACCAGGGATATACAAAGACGAACCTAGAGGCTGTGGTGAGAAGCTAAGGAAAGAGCCCACCCAGCCTCTGGTGAAAAATGCGGAGCAAACCCTAGTCTACGAGCAGGGAATTCCCATGTACCTGGGGCATTGTAATACAGCCGTGGTGACCACAGGTGCCAACATGTTTAATCCACCATATCACTGGACGATGGCAAAGGCTAGGAACTACTTGGGGGTCACAGGCGTCACCGCAAATAAGGCTACGCATAACGGATCAGCGACCTCGTAGACACGTGGCGCATAACAAACACTCACCGCTGAGTGATGTGTCGGAATCAAAGTCGGCCCGCTGTATCAGCTCGTGCGCACGCTCGCTGTGTTCACACCAGACCTCGATAGGTGTCCGATCCAACTCCCCAATCCGCCACCAGCGGGGGACACATGTGTCGTAGAGAGGACCCCAGCCTGAGTCGTTCCAGTCCTGGTAGGTCTCCAACATGGTCCTTCATGCTGGGAGCCCAGGTATGGCGAAGACGCGAAGAGTTCGCAGCCTCATCACAAAATCGCCAGGGAGGTACTCCTTGGGTCGGGACTCTTGCGGCTGCTGTCCTCGCCGGAGATCCTCGTATTGGGAATCTTGCGGCTTGTGTACCCACCGGTGAAGTGGCAGGATGAAGAACAAGGAGAAGTATATGACGGCTGTAGACTCGAGCACAGCCAACAGTGTCGCCTGTGTGGGGTTTCGTGCGTGGCAAAAAGATGGTAAGCGACCCTGGTGAGGAGAAGACACGCAGGGATTCCAGACTGGCCTTAAAGTCAGACCCTTCTGCCTCAAACGTTATCTCCAGCGAGCGTAGCCGAGGAGCAGTGTAGAACAACTTGCTCCACATGCGTCCCCCATCCACCAGCTCTCCTGCAGTGTGCACCTCCAGCGCGATTGGCCTTGCAACATCCAGAAGGGCCAGGAAGGATTCCACGTCCCTTACTCCAGAGAACAGATTACCCAACACAATCAAGCCAACATCCTCCACACGCATGGTGGTGTCGACTGGAACGTCGGTGGGGCTGGAAAAGTGGAGCTCCGCAAGGCAGAGGGGCGATCAGCCTTGTGCCTGGATGGTGAAGACCGGGCGCTTGAAGGGCCTGAACTGCAACTCAAGACAACACGTCTCGAGATTGACACACACCTCAATGAGCCTGGCCGCAACCTCGGGGAGACAGGTGAGGGAGAGGTGCTTGATGGAGGGGAGGGGGAGAAGGATGCGCCAGAGGGACAGGTGGTATGCTCCAAGAACAAAGGCACAGAAAGTGCAATGTTGGAATTGACGATATGCGCGATACGAGATCAGGTAGGTGGAGGTGACCGAATTGGTGGCGCTCTTCATCGAATGTGAGGTGAAGGAAGGTCAGCTTCGAGAGGGTGGGAAACGCTTGTACCGTCCTTTGGCCCACTTTCCGACAGATTGCCTGTGTAAGGTTGGCCATCTCGCCTATGACCCCAGGTAACTTGTTGTGTAGGGTCAGGAACCACTCGAAGTTGTTGACCTCGAGATTGTGGAGGAGTGTGGCTGATCTGAGAAGGAAAAGAAAGGAGGGGAAATTGGGCTCAGTAATACTGCAGAGGGTGAGGTCGCGAAGATGTAGGACACAGGTGACTTGATTGAGGTCTTTTGCGTACAGGCGGTTAAGCTTGGGGAGCACCTAGGGGGCGCGCCAGAGGCAAACATTCACCGTCTTGAAGAACTGCAGCCTGGCCAGGCGATAGAACTGTCTCGAACAGGAGGACACCGCTTTGGCATTTTTGTGATCCAAGAAGGAGAAGATGGTGTGGAGGATGTCTTCATTGAGAGCGGTGGAGGATGTTGTCATGGCTGGGTAGGGATGGGGAGGGGTGGGTTATCGGGAGAGCACAGCAGCAGGGGAAGCAGGAGCGGTGTAGTGGCAGTTTATATGTATCTGTGTCCTAGCTTGAACACGCCCAGTGAAGAGAACAATTCACCGTGTGCTTTCGAGGTCAAAAACGGGCCTTCTGAACACGGGTCTGTGCACGTGCACTGTTCTATTTCTGTGGGTTCGTTCCAAACGAAGGGACCGGGAGGTTCTCAGCTGGCACGGCGTGGGCCTTTGCTTAGATTTGGAGTAACGCAAGCGGCATGTGAGGCACAGCTCTATTGTAGGACAAAGAGCTCGTGCAAGCACGGCAGCCACACAACAATAGGGAAGGCGGCAAACAGTGGCTCGCAAGTGCTGGTTGAGACAACGTGGCTTGTGTGTGGTGTGTGGGTATGCCGGTGCACGTAATACGACACGGGTACGAACACAGGGGCCCAATGCCATCTGGATCACTGGTATCAGTGGCATGTGATGCCCGCCCACTGTGCACAGGGCGCTGTGGTGGGGCGCAATGGCAGCGCAGGTGGACCTGCATACACCTGTGCAGACCCGGGACCTTTGAACTGGTATTGGTGGTGTGTCGCTGGTACCAGTGCTGCCGGTAGATTACTTGAATCCATGGCTGTTGATGTAACAGGTACCAGCGGCATGTCGCTGATACCAGCTGTTACCTCGCTAGAAGCGGTGCTGCCCACACTCTGCCTAACACATCATCCCACGCCCCCTGCCCAGCGTTATCACCCCTGCCGCTCGCTTCTCACCTATTGTGTCGAGCCATCACATGTGGACACCTTCCGTGCGCTGCGGTACATGCATGCCATAGCACCAATTTCTCACCATCGCGATCTACACTCGAACCATACCTATAAAAGCCTCTCACAAACTCTCTCTCACCCGTTCCTCCTTGTCCGCCCATCCCTCCACCATCATGCCCTCCACTGCTGGTACATTTGTCTGCTTCACGGGCGAGATCATCACCGTACATGCTCTCCCTTGTTCGTGCCGTTTCCATCACTAAACCGCCACATCAGATATTCTACCTCAAGAACATGATCCACGTCTGTGCTCCCCTTCCAAACGACGAAGACATCATTGTGGTTCTCGATGAGGTAAGCACAATTAATTGATTGTGCCCTGCCGTTATTCTCACCAGCACTGTTCCTTTCGCAGGCCTATGACCTACATGCTAGAAACCTCCCATTTGGGGTCATCTGTGTTGGAGTCCGGGTGGCCATTGAGGGCCATGTTCTCCCTGACAGGCGAGTGGCCCTGTAACGTTTTGTGGAGAGCCCAGGTAAGCCACACTGGCTGTTTCCTATGTCTGATGTCTGCTGACGAAGAGGCCAGTCAATGTCCCTTTCGTTTAGATGCGGATGTGACCAGGACAAGACCGATTGTTTTATGCTTTTAATACATTGTTTTAATATATTGTGAGCATCTGATACCACTGGTACCAGTCCTGACGTGTGCAATCGCCTTCTTCGTTACTAATATGCAAGAGTTAAACGTGCGCCAACGCTGTTGTGTGTCCCCCAGCTCGCGGCATGGCAGCAGGTACTGGTACTGTGTTTGTATCGTCCCTGGAGACTGCTGCGGTCATCAGACGATCAGGCGTGGAAGTCAAACTCAAGAAGTGTCAAGCTCTATAAGCTGTTCAGACTTCCTCCGAACGAACACAGTCACCGGAGACCCTTCTCTCCCTCTCTACCAGCGGTGATTCCGAGACTCTACACAATGAGAAATGGCAGACGTTTGGTACCCAAATAGGACCTGGGACTCACATTCTTTGTCCCCATTGTGACATCTCGAGTAACTACATCGGATCAGCGGCTAGCCGATTCTGTATTCTGTTACTATGTCACACGACGGGCAGAGGGTGTAAATCACAGGGGGTGACGCGCTTGTTATAGCCATGTGACAGGTATCCTTTGTACTCAATGCCACACGGCTATTTGCATAATGGGATGGTTATATTGTTTGCCCGCCACACCACTATTGCAAGGGGGTATAGGCAGCGTGCCCCTCCAATATACAAATATGACTATATGTTGGATATACCTCCACACAACAAGTAAACTGGCTCATCACTATCCCCTTGCGTGACAGGCAGACTATTGCATCATTGTCCCCTGACTGGCCTATCACATGACAGGCAGACTGTCCGTTGACTATTGCTCGAGTGCCTCTCTGTGCGCGAGGCAGACTGTCCCTTGCCTATCACTTGAGTGGCTCCCTGCACACGACTCACAGCGGTCTCTTGGCTCCACTCAATCTTGCTGACAATCACCCCCGACGCCCACTGCACTTTGCCGCATCACTCCGTTCTGCAGTGTGTATGACGGTCGCTGCACGTGCAGTGTACAGGCTTGTCCCGCGTGACACGGGTCGGTTCTGCACCATCGCTGCGTAGCACCATCCTCGTGTGTCGCACTAGACCTCAAGTGTGGTTGAGCAACATTGGTAGCACACTATCTGTATAATGTATGGCTGGTTATAAGCTTCTTTCTGAGCCAATCACTATATATGTAGGTGTATTAGAACACCTCTTCGAAGGGCTACAAGACAGTATATGTTATGTTATGTATTGTGCTTTGCAGCTGCTATACTGTAGCAACTACTGCTTGGCAGTGTTGACTGGGTTATAGTGCTGTGCCTGGGAATATGCTTATGTAACATACACCATTCAAACGCCACTTTGAATGCGTACTCGGCATAGTTTAAAACATAAGAAACGGACATGAAATGAGCAATACAGAGTGTAAGCAATGTTCCCAGATGCAGTTGCCTAATAAGGTGTGTGAGAAAACTGTTACATAAGCCCCAGCAGCGCACTCCCATCCCTGATGCCACTACTCCTCTCTTGGGGGACTCTCATACACCCTTCACCTCTGTAGCCTGGCTTTTGGCCAAAGTCCAGTGCTTATGGGTAGGAGGATGCCCCCCTACAGTCCCTGTGCTCCTGTACCATGCCTACTCGGTGCACCAATTTAGAGCGGTGGTCTTGAGCCTGGGATGCCTGCGACATTGCCATTTTGGGTGGCCTGGTCGTTGGAGCACAGACCAAGTTCTGTGTGAGATGGATCCAGCATTCTCTTTGATGTTTTGGTAAGCTTTGGGTATCTGTGGCCATCAGATGAGTGTTTCTCTGCCTACATTCTCTTCCCTATAGTACTTTGACGTCACTGTGCCTCCCTTCCCATGCCCCCTCACCCTTAGAACACTGCCAGATTGTTCCCAGGTGCGTGCTCTTTCTGTAAACCCCCCATTTATCCCCCACTTCGCATTTTTTACCCCCTTCTGTGCATATTGATAGTGTGGGTTAGCACAGCGCTCATGGGCGTCTATTTCAGAGGCGCCCACAGCGCTGCTACATCCGCGACACCTGCATGCCATCCATCCCCTTCCCATGGTTGGATCTGCTTCATTTTTGGTAGGTAGGCACTAGTAGTCCTGCACACACAATCTATGTACTTTGTTTCATCATGTTGTATCATTTGAGTCTATAACAGCATGTTTAGACACGCCGGGAATATCAAAATTTCTGCTCGTCCGATATGTATGAGTAAACCTTGCAATAAATGTAGTGTTTTTGGCAGTGTTCTGAGCCCTTCAGAATGTTACATTTCGCGCGCGTTGAAACCTTATGTACCTCGCACTGTTCCCGAGTCCTCAAAATGAAACATTTCCGCGCCTGCAGAATGCTTTCTCACACATAAAGTTCTGGCGGCCCGAGAACTCAAAGTTTCCCGGTGTGCAAAATCATATACCAAATTTGGCGTTCCTTTCATCATTTTGTCAGCCTCGCAACAATATATTCGGTATGTCATTCCGGCGGTCCCGAAATGTTATGTTTTGAATCCGGGCGCCCACTCGTCGCCCACTCGTCGCCCGCACGTCGCCTGCTCACGGCGCGTCGCCCGCTGGTGCCCGCTCGTTGTGTGCGCGTAAACTGACATACTCAGCCTGGGCAGAAGAGGATCCCAGATGACTCTACAACCGTCCCAAAACGATGGGCCGGTTTCGCGCAGGAGCGCGAGTGGGGTCGTGTTTAGTTTTGGAGCGGGCCACACAAATTGGTCAATGCGTAGCGCCCTCGCGCACCACCCCGCCCTGTACAGCGCGAGTCCGCGACGTCTGCTTGAGCCTTTCATGCACCGCGAGCATCACGATGCCCCGCGCGCATGCTACGATGACGACATCCACACATGAAGGCTCGAGCAGACGTCGGGGACTCGCGCCATACAGGGCGCGGTGGTATGCGAGGGCGCTGTATGCGCAAGTCCATGCGCGGGGGCCGCTTGCAGACGCCCGCCCATGCACGTCCGACTTTCTCGGAGAGCCTGCCGGCCCGTCTACTCCCGCTCCCCTACATAGTACTCCATCATCGTCGTTCGGGTCTACAGTCGTAGATCGTTGTCCTCTCGCTCTCTTCCACTCTCTTCCATTCTCGCTCTCGCCCACTCTCTCGCTCTCTCTCTCTCTCTCTCGCTCTCGTCCACACTCTCGCTCTTCTTCGCTCGTCTTCTCTTCTCCCTCGTCATTCAGCCTCACCATGAACAAGAAAAACGCGCACGTGCGTAGGTTGTTAGCCACGTCTTCAATACGCTAATGACAAGTAGATCTTCAACGTGATCTACGGCGTCGTCGAGTCGGAAGACATTAAATTCAAGGACTTCGAGAAGGCGATGAACAGCCTTGGCGCGCGCAAGAGCACCAGCGGAGGCTCTTTTCACTCATTCACAGCGCCGTGTTGGAAGGGCACCGTGCACGTTCATCAGGTGAGTCTCACCGTTTCGCGCGCTGTACCTCGTCGCCGACCAAAACGCCAGCCGCACCCGTCCGACCACTACACAAAGAAGAACGTGGGGAGGCTCAAGGTGAGCGATCACTGTCTGAGAAGCATAGACTTGATGCTCACCTTTTACAGGCCCAGTTGGAGTCCAGCGGATTGACCCACCGGGTCATTCGCCGTGAGGCCCGCAAGGCGGGCATCCTCATCCCGAAGTTGCCGTCACAGTAAACTTAGCCTCGTAGTCGTAGTTTGCTTTATATGAATCTGGCCAGATTGATGTGATTCTCATTGTCATGATCGGGGATCGCAGCGGTCACCTGGTTTGCGCAGTCTCGTAGCCTCGCTTCAAACGTTATTGCATTCCGATACAGTCTTTGCGTCTTCGAGGGACAGTCGGTCGCTGCCCCTGTTCCGTACGTTCTCAAACAGTTTCCATAGATCCTAACCCGTCCAGCGAGTGAGCAGGACGGCGAGAGCGTTGGTTGTATCTACGAACCTTGCCAAGGCATGCGGAAAACCAGCAGACGCATACGTCAAGAAGCTCACAATGCTGGTAAGCCTGCCCAGGATTCCTTAATTACGCGCGTACGCCGCCTTCCCCCTCTTATTCGCGCGATCATGAATCTCCGCGTCACGCGTGTTGAAATTGGATCGGTGATGCTCGAAGAAGAGCAGCAGGCACCGCCGGGGTGTACTTACAGACAGAGGAGGAGGGGATCGAGTTACACAGAACGGTTGGGGGCCTCGGCTAGACCTATGTCGGTACACGAGAGCGTGAATCATTAGGATATGTAGATGTAAGTCCATAACAAGCGGAAGAGGGAACGTAACATATCGTGGGTCGTGTTTGGTCGCGGTGGCGGACGGAGACCTACGCAGGACTGCGCGGGGCTGTAGGGTTCATGCGAGGTAAATAGTAGCGAGTCCACGAAGAGACGGGTTGTATGGGGAGCGATGCGCGCGAGCACGTGCGGTATTAGCGATGCGGGATGAAGGGGAGGCGGATGACGGTACGAGCCACGTGCACAGCACTGCCACACCGGCAGGATAACAGGCACGTCGCAAAAGATCGGATCCATGGCTAGTACTGTAAGTTTCGCATTGAGGACTATTTGGGTCATTGAGCGAAATAAGAAGGAGAATTGCACCTTATGTAAAGGGAGAACGGCTGCGTCTCCCGAAGGCATTATCTATCTTGCGAAATGACCCGTAACATCAGATGGGCATATACTTTCAAGCGTGCTGGAAAGCTGCTGAGATCGCGTTGTGGCAGGGAAGTCTTTGTACTCCAGAAATGGGTCGCCATGGCGTGCAGGTAGATGAGATTGTACTGCAAACTTGACGGTGACGCCGACCTTGTAGATATACTTGATGCTGCCGAACTCCCGCTCGCCGCTGCTGTGACGGTAGAAACACACGAGGCTGTTTCCTGCGTGGGTCGACGCCCGTGCGAATATGACATTGTTGTGCCTATGCCGGGCGACCAGAGTGACATTGTCGCATTCAACCGGAGTAAGGAGTTGTCGCAAGTCGTCTGGGATCTTGTCATAGCAAGTGGGTGTCCCTTCAGCATCGTCCCCATGCACCTCTGAAGACGACTCCATGCTGCCACTCCCGAATGCCTTGTGAAATAATCGCTTCACTTCACGGAGTGCAGAGGGACAATCAGGACGAAGCAACCAGCGTCGCAACCGAGCGGCTCTCAGAAAAGACTGTAGCATGGTAACTTCTGCCTCGCCTGCAGGATTGATGAGGAAGTGAGTAAACACGCGGTGAAACCAATTGGAGCAGTGAAACTTACCAATCTTGTCGTTGTGAGGAATCCGTTGAAGACGTCCGATGAGACGTTCGAAGGGGAAGCACCACCACAAGTATACAGGTCCAAAAAGCCTTAGGAAGTCGTAGATATGGAACGCCACATGGTTGTTTGTCCGGTGGGAATACTTGCTGGGATAGAGCTTTTGTATGCCGCATAACCATTGGGCGACATAGTGACGGTACTTCTCAGCGCGTGAGTGTGAGGTTGTGCGCTTGCAAAGAAGATAAACAGCAGATACTAGCTTCATGGTAGTATCCAAGGCTTCGTGCATGGACGAAGACACAGATGCGGACGATGTGTTGATGGCTCCATCATGGTTTTTTGGCATGCAACCCCAAAGGCTGACCAGCGTGAGGGGGAAATAGATCGTAGCCAGAACACGCCATTCATCCGCTTTGAGGGTCCCCGCACTGGCTTCCCCGTAGTTAAGCGGCACTGAGCTCACCCAAGAGGGCGTGATGGTATCTCGAATGACCTCTTGGATGTGCTGTAGAGCTGCCCTGGCGGAGGTCTCCTCATGTACCGACTCGTTGGAAGTGAGCGGTTGGGTGCGTCGCTGTCAGGGAAGTCCGGATCAGAATTGGGGGGACAAGGCATCGGCGAACTTCCACATACCCAGCGTACGAGAGCATCAGCACAGTTCTGCTTCAATTTATTCCCTTCGCATGGAACGCCAAGATCATCCACGACGAACCGCAACGGTTTGCGATTCTTTCCCATTAGTTGTTTGTTCAGCTTCTTGAGACCATGCTCGATGTCGCCATAGACCGCCCGAGTCAGTGCCATATGGATCTGACGTACTTGAGCCATCTCCTTGTCCGTCATCTGGTCGGTCTGGGGGAGCGAATCGTTGGTCGCAACGTCCACCGTGGCAAAGTCGCAGCAGAAAGCAGGTGGTTCATCATCTCTAAGATTCACCTTGCTGAAAGTCATCCCCAGGATGTCCCAAAAGTGATAAGGAACCAGTCCCTCGAGGATACAGTGCATGGGATCGACGACAAGTTGACGAGTGGGGTCCCAGTATGGAAGCCGCCAGAGTTCTGACCATCAAATACCATGCTCGTCGAAGATACGTTTGCGTTCTGCTTCTGTCGTTGCGTCTCGCCAGCGCTCAGCTTGTTCACGCAGCTCGTTGAGGTTGCGCTTTGTCCAGTGTTCGAAGTCGGTGCGTCCTCGCGTTGATTGATGGTAACACGTGCATACGTGACAATAGTGGTGACCGTTGTGTCTAGCCATCTGCGAAGCGTGACGGGCAGCTTGTAGATCCATGACTACGGCAGCAACAGCCGAACGTGAGACACAGCTGTGAAACACAGAAGCGACGCGCGAGTGCTTGATACCACGTATCCATGCTGTCAGGAGGACGTCAACAATCGGCCTAAGGTAGTGGTTCAGCGCGACTCCGTGAGGTTCGCGTGGGCCTGGAATGATGGCGAGGGGACCAAGGTTTTCGGGTTTGTATCTGATCTTGGGAGGCAGGTTGAGACATGCGAGAGATATAACAGTGGCGGAAATGCTGGGTCCTCGAACAGACATGCCTTCGATGTTGAACGAGTCCAGATGAAGCGCGAACATGAGGCGAAGCTCGCCCTTTCTGTTGGTAAACAAGGAAAGTTTGTCCTCGAGCTTGAGAGTCCGCCAATATTCGGCTTCGTGTGCGTGAGAGATGGTATCGGGTGACTGCTCTTTGTTCTTGATCGCTTCCAGAGCCTTGTCGCAAGACTCATTGATATGACGCACATTGACTTCCGAAGAGAGCAGTCCGCTGACGTAATCCTCGAAGCTGTGGACAACAAATGGTCTGATTGGCTTCGTGGACGGGATCCCGCTTGGAGAAGTTACAACAAGCGGTGTATCACAGGATCCGGTTTTTTCCGAGCGATTCGTGCACTTGATGGGATAGGTAGACAAGGAAGTCAGAGGATCGGGATTTGGTTTATATAGACAATGGCATCGTGGACATGCGGCATACGTGACCGTAAGAGGTTCTAGATTAAATTGAGCGAGTGCAGATCGTAGGGAGGTGGGTATCTGAGCAAGAATCTTCTGCTCTAGGGGCACGGCAGAAGACAACACTGTGTCGAAGCACATGGACACCAAGAACGCAATGCTGGTCATCAGGAAGTCGGATCTGGTGCGACTGAGTTTCCCTAAGACGTGAAGAACGATTCCGGGGGGTGCGGCGACTTGCGCTACGGGGTGCTTGTTGCTAGCAGGAACATCGTAGTGGTGACCTACAGTATAGTGTCAGAAGCAAGATGAGGGTGACATACGAATCGCACTTACTACAGTCAAAGAAGACGGCGTCTGTTTCCGGGTTCCTAGGGCACAAGTGGTGAAGCTCCATGATACGCCCATGAGTGTTCTGCAGCGACGTCGCAACTTGACGCCTTTTCATATCGATAGAAGGCATGGATCGTAGGATCGAACTGAAACTGGACGACAATGAAGCGATTCGGTCCTCGGCGCGTGAAAGTTCGGACTCCGAAGGCGACACCAAGATGGTCTGGAGTTGTTGCAGTTCTGCGTCGATGCGACTGAGACCGGATAAGGCTTTGGTGGTTGCGTGGTTTCGTTCGTGACGATCTTCAGTGCGCTTGGCTTCCGAAACTGCCTTCTTGATTCCTGCGATGGACTCGAGAAGGTCGGTGCTTGAAGCGACTCCAAGTGGTTCACGGAGGTGCTCGCTTGATGGAGTTGGAAAGTCGCCGTCTTCTGCGAGAACAGTTGAGATGAACAGCTTGTTGGATTCTGCTTCTATGACTTCGTCGATGGCGCCTACGGAAATCGAGGAACTACTGGGAACAGAGAGCAGTCGCTGATGGCTGTAAAATTCAGTCTTATTCCTCCATTGTTTGCCTTTGCGAGAGCGAGGGAACTCCTTTGTGCAGTCTGCACATTGGCACCAGAGGTCTGTGCGAGGAGGCATCCGACGATGATTCGCGAGATGACGTGTAAGGCCTGGTTCCTAGAAAACATATCAGCAAGGGTTGTCGTAGAATGCAACATGTTTTCTCATACCTGTGATCGAAACAGAGGGAATATGACAGGGCAAGTAGCGCGGTTGTAGAGGGGGCGTCGAAATCATAGATAGAGTGTAACGAATGCTAGAATAAATACATGCGTGCGCGCGAGCTGTAGCAACGGAGTCTGAGGAGTCCGGGAAGTTCTACAGAGAACCGCGGAATGCGGGGAGGTGAGGGAGAAGGGCGAAGGTGCGCGGGTTTTTCAGTGAGGCAGTGGTGCGGTTGTCGGCGACGGAGTGGTTGGTACGGCGCGCGGGCTGGTGGAGGTGCGGTTGTAGTTGGTTTGCATCGGAGGTGGTTTGGTAGTACGATACACGGCGCGCGGCACGTGCATCACCGCCCACCCGTGCTCCCTCGCCGGGAGTGCGTGCAGTATGATGGCAGGGTCTTGAAGGGGACGGCCTACGGGCGAGCTCATTTTGAGATGGGGATGTGAGAAATGGACGGAGCACGTACCGTCTACCACACTCACATTGTTCCCTTCCGCCGCCTCACGGCGCACGCGCACCGGCGCAAAGTCGACCCTCCGCGCCGCCAGGGGAGGACGTGTCGAGGCGTCGCGCTGCTGCCGCTCCCTCCATGATCTGCCCATCATCTCACCGAAGACTCCCTCTGGACCGGTGGGCTCACAAAGTTCATGCTCGACACTTGGGATGACTCCTCCGAAACATGGGATGACCACATGTCGTGTCTCATTATTGCCGCAGTACATCACCAGGCACTCCATTATCCCTGTGGCAGATCTTCAGTGACATTCCCATTGTTCAACCGGAACCTGTGACAGCTTGCCCGTCAATGCCATGGAGGGTCCGACCAGACCTTGGGCACCCCGATACGCAGCATTCTCAGGCTTCGGGCTCTTGTGGAGCCGACGGATGACCCTGAGTCGGACACGGACGTGGACTAGCCTAGGCCCCCACCTGTAAGCTCGAGGGCGGGCACACAGATGAAGCGAGCGCACACAAAGCAGGGGAAGGCCTTCCCTGTCGTGGGTGAATTCAGAGCGGAAGGGAAGCAGTCTGGCCAAGGGGCGACTCATCGAATAGATGCGGAGGTGCCAGGAGTGTGCACACGCACGTAGATGCGAGGGGGAAATGAACTGGATAGCACAAAGTGAGAGACCGCCCTAAATACACACTATGTGGCCTGTGCACGGGTGTAACTACGACCGAAACGAACAACCGAAACGCAGAGGCAGGGAGGCAGGCTATAGCGAGCAGGGGGAAATTTCCGGAAAATGATATAAACGAGGTCTGTAATGGGGCAAGGAGTGGACCGCAGAGGTCGTGGAATGCGAGATACGAGGGCACAAAACAAGAGGAAAGAAAGGAGATACATGGCTAAACGGGGAGCGAACGCAATCACGAAGGTCGGTGAGGCGTCGCGCAGCACGTGTTGGGGGGAGTGGATGCCGTGGTGTGAGCCTCGTTGGCGGCGCGCCGTGTCGGGGGCCATCTTCGAACGGGGTGCGTCGCGTCGCGCAGTCATGCGGGGTGAGAGTTGGGGTGGCGTTCCGTATGGACGAGGGTCGATGATGCGAGAGATGAGGACTGAGGACCGAGAACCGAGGGCGCGAAGAGGGCGAAGGTGCAGGCTCGCACAGGCGTCTAGCGGACGCGTGCATCCACCGCGCATCACTTGGACTTGGCTTTCCCCTGATCGGAGGGGGGATGGGTCGACCTGGACTGCCCTGGAGGTGACAAAATTCAAAAATTGGAGACGACTGGAAAGGGGGAAACTCACTGTATACCGAGAACAGGCACTGGCACGGATGGAGTATGCACAAGACCTCCTGAACGAGGTCCATGACGATACTGTTCCGGTTGTCCACGACAGCCTTGAGGTCACCCGTGACCGCGACAATCTGTTGAATGAGTTGCAAGGCGTGCATTGTGTTCTCGTCCAGGACCGGCTCCATGGGACTGTTGTCCCCGAACGAGGGCCCTCTAAAGGCGGAGCCGCATCGCTTGTGATGAGGCGGAGGTCGAAGAGGGGTAAAGGGGGTGGGTTCCTCGGGGGCGATAGGCTCAAGGGCGATGGGCTCAGGGGCGATGGGCTCGGGGGCGATGGGCTCAGGGGTTCGGATGGGCTCGGGGGTGATGGGCTCGGGGGCCATGGGGATAAGTTCGAGGGCGACGGCGGTTGGTTCGGGGGCGATGGGGGTGAATTCCTCGGGGGCGGCCTCTCCAGGACCGTCGAACGGAATCATCTTATCGAAGGATAAGCGTTGATGGACAGGAAAGACAAGGCAGGGAACTCACGAACGGCATGGAACCAATTACGAATCTTTTGTTATCAATCGTGTATAGCCGGGGCGTGCAGTTTTCGATGGGTAGAGACATGGTGTTGAGGAGAGAGAGAGACGATGAGGGAAAAGTGGGGAGTGCGCCGACGCCCCCGACGGTTCTTATGAACATGCGACACTACGCAAGCACCCATGCCGTATACACGTCAACCAAGAGACGTTCCATTACTTGTCGCCCCAACCCGTAATTTGTAATCGCATCAAATCTTCATCCCCGTCTTTCGCGCGAACGAATTGCACATTCGTCTAATCCGCTTCCGACCCTCGTGCCCACCCCATGATCATGCCTGCGTGAGCTGCCTTTCCACCCACAAAGTCCTCCCCTCTTCCCAATATCGGAGCAACGGCACCAAATGTATGAGCCATGCAGCTCGGCGAAGGAATGGGCAGAGGGATGCGGATGAGATACAGACAAGTACGGCGAACATTCAAATGACGACGAGAGCGGGCACAGTGGAGACGTCTCGGCATCATACACGTCCAAAAGTAGCCCACGGCCTCACGGAATCCGGGGTTTGGCCCTCCCGCACATGTCGGAGCCCGGATATGAGCAGCGGTAACCACGGACCTCTCTCCTTCTCTCCCTCTCTCCTCTGCGGTAGAGTGGTTGTGCCGTGGGTTGCAGGCGAGGGACGCGACCACGACGGCCAGCGGAGCCCCAGAGGCGTCCAGGGACCCAGGCGGGCTGGTCGTGGAGCTCGCGGGGGCAAGCACGTGAAAGCAGCCATGACGTCCGGAGCACGTCCAAGGAAGAGACGGGCTTACTACCAGGGACCTTGCGGCGGATGGGAGGTCTTTCAGTAACCGGAGGCAAGCTTCGAATACGCAAGCAGGCGGGATTTTGAACCAGTGCCGGTGGTTCCGAGGCAAAGGAGAGGTACTAGGAGCCGGTTGTAGCAAATGAAACGTCTTCCAGAGACCGGAGGCGATATGTTATAACTACACTCTGTCCTCGAATGAGTCAGTGGCGGTTGTTCTGAGACTGAACACGAGAGCACGGGAGCGCACGCCAGGTCGAGCGCACGCGGTCGGGATGAGCGCACGCGGTCGGGATGAGCGCCCGCGCGAGAAGTCGATTAAGCGGGGTACAGGTGACATAGACGGGTAAGGACGGTGAAGGAGCACGAGTGACTTCGTTGGCTCGCAGTGCGATGGGCGATCATATGCTAGAGCGTAGGCGGTATAAGGTCGTTGAGTACATCATCATGTGGTCCAGGGGCGAACGTAGACATACCACGACGCTGGAGGGTGTCAATCAAGCTCTTGGAAGACCAGCGAGAGTAAAACTCTGCGCTTGTGGCCATGGGTGTGGAAGACCAGTGAGAGTACAACTCTACACTTGTGGTCGTGGAGGTCGAGAGCCAAGATGTGTACAGGCGCCGAGCGGGCACTGCATGTGCAGGCGCCGAGCGGGCACTGATCGCGACTGTGCAGTGCCTACTCGGCGCCTGTACACATCTTGGCTCTCGACCTCCACGACCACAAGTGTAGAGTTGTACTCTCACTGGTCTTCCACACCCATGGCCACAAGCGCAGAGTTTTACTCTCGCTGGTCTTCCAAGAGCTTGATTGACACCCTCCGGTGTCGTGGTATGTCTACGTTCGCCCCTGGATCACATGATGATGTACTCAACGACCTTACAGTGCGCCAATCGTGCGTCGTACGGTTCGCGTTCTCATGCTCCGTACGTCGTTCATAGTATAATGGCACATAGAAACTCAAGCTTTGGTAACAAAGGTAACCCTTAGCATCCCTGCCGTCTATCCCATGCCTTCTTCGCCTCCATGAGCTGGCGCCAACTCCGCATCTTCTTCCTGTGGAGGCGCAAAGAGGCGGGGTAGACCGGACATAACTCCCCTTGGTGCTCATTGAAAGCTATCGCCACTCTAACCTCAAGTAAGTCAGGTGGATCAAAGCTCATAATAATGTACTGACCGCTCGAGGACTTCGTCCGCCATGACAGCGTCTCCATGGCGCATATTGACGACAAATTTCTTTGACTTGCTCAAACGCATCACTAAGGCGTCTCCGTACATCGGCCATGGGGTGACGTAAGAGGCGGGGCGGTTGAAGCGACTGAACTCACCGTCATCGATCCAGAAGAATACAACATACGAGCTGGTCCCGCTCTCTTCCACAACGTCAACGATGCAGTCGTGGACGCCACATTGAGGGGCCCTCTCGTCGTCGAGAACGCTCTCAGCGAACGGGTAACGTCGTTTCCCGTCACACCGAGTCAGAACGCCGACGGGCCGAGATCGGGATTCGGAGGCGCCGTACAGCCTCCCTTTGACAGTGCAATGGAACGCCTGCCGCAAAGTGAGTGGGACTCCTACACCTGCGAGTTCTGTACTCACCTTTCGGCTAGGGGTGAAGTACCTACGGCTACCAGGCATGGAGATGGGTCTGATAAATGTGTCCTGCACGCGCGAACGAGTTCACAAGGTTTGGAGATAGGAATACGTGTCCAGCACGTAGTTGAGGGGTAGGATAGCGGTCAGGGAGATGATGACGGGTGACGAGGGCGGGCGACAAGGGCGGGCGACGAGGGTGGGCGACGAGGGCGGATGGTTAAGTGTGGTCTGTCTCATCGCACACACGCATCTCTGCAGGAGCGTACACAATAAAATAGGAGCTTCCATGACGAGATTCCCATGGTGCACAGCCCCTCAAGTCCACCGATGACAGTTATAACAATAACCATCAATTGTCCATTCACTGGAGGAGTTGGCGCTCAACGCCAGATGACCATCTGTGCTGAGCGACCATCGGCAGTGGACGACCGGCAGCGGGCGATCTCCAGCGGGCGACCGCCACCAGCTGACGACTATTCAAAGTGATCAGGTAACGTCTCGTATTGTTCAGCATCACAATAACTCACGTCAAGCACCCAGATATACCTCAACGACGCAATCGTGATGTATATTAACCATCAGTGGTGCGGAAACCACAATACCATCTTTCCCTCGACTGGCTTGAGACTATATCATTACCCCTCATCTCCGCCTGCGCGATCATAGGGTGCTGTTGAACACGCCCAGTTCCCGCTCGCTCCACACCCCTTGACTAGCTTGCCTCACTTTCTTTTCCTGGCCCCGTCTTTCTTCACCGGTCATCCGTCTGTCTTCATGGCTTCACATCGCCGTAATGTTGTTCCGCCGTGACCTGCCGATTTCGCTTCTACAATGGAAATGGAAGACAGCGAATCGGAATACGAAAGCGCACGAAGCACTTTCGAATCGGATACCGATGACCCTCTCGACAATTCACAGTCTCCCATGCCTTCGCCGCCTCCACAGTCTACCGTTTCTCCATCTCCTCCTCCGTTTGTCATTCCTCCTCCTCCTCCTCCTCCTCTATCTCTGCCTACCATTTCTCCGCCGCCCACAATCCCGTTGCCACGTGTCATTCCTCATCCGCTTCCGCCGCCCACTATTCCTCCCCCCTCCCCCTCCGCCGCCTTCTTTCCCTTTCATCTCTCGACAATCATTTTCTCCCTCACTTCCAAACGTACCTACGATTGCCGTCCCTTCATTACCTACCATCCTTCCGCTTCCAAATACGCCTCCATTCTTTGCAGTACCACGCGGCTCTCTTCTTCAAGCACCCGCCTGCCCTTTCTTTCACTCTTCCCCTCAACGGCCCCTTCCCACTGTACCGCTTTCACGCTCCCCACCGCCCCGCCTTCCGCCTCGTTCACGCTCCCCGCAACCCGCGATCCCTCCTCGACCGCACACCTTAGGAACTCAGGCTCTGAGGCATCCGCGCTCGTCGACTTCGTCTGCAGCGTCCGCCTCCTTCGTACGCAAAGCCTCCAAATTGTTGTCCATCTCCTCGTCGGCTTCCCAAACAGGGTCACCTGACGCTTCTCTCCCGGTCTCTCATTCGATCACGACATCCTCCAGCCATACTGGTTGGATTGGTTTCATGAGGGCGGCGAGCCTCCTCCCGGGAGATGATTTTCGGAGCCCCGTACCACCCTATTCTGGGCGCGGATCACTTGAATGCACCCCCGCACCTTCCTACTCCTTTGATCCTCCCGTCGGCCACGAAGCGCCTTTGCAATCGCTGACGCCATTTGGGCTCCCCGGTACGCTTGGCCTCGCAACCTGCCCTGCCCCCGTTACACCGCAAGCTTTGGCATCCAACCTGTCCTCAGGCACGGACGTCGACGGCGCCAACGATCGTACTCCCCGAGCCTCCGAACTGAACCCCGATGCTCGATACCCTCCGGAGCAAGCGGTTGCAAGCACCTCATGTGTCATCGACGTCGACATGGAGAATGAAATTGCACCAGCCGTATGTTCAGCCGCGCTACTGAGATGCACGACGTTTTGACTCACAGTATTCTAGGCCACTTCTCTCAGGAAGCGCGTGGAACATTCCCCTGCGTCTGAGTACGATAGGTCTGTGCGGCCAAGACTTCAGGGCCCAAAGTTTTCTGGGCAGAGCTCATATGTCGGGCATCTGAGGAACAGCAACCGGTGGTTACAAGAGGTAAGTCTCTTTTATTTCAGTAATGTCCCATAAATCTCACTCTCCACGATCCTAGAAATCGGCACAGATGCGGTCAAAGCTCGTACAACATGCCGCCTCTACCAGACAGATCGTCTCAGATCTGGAAGCCCGGATCAATGCCAATGAGCTATCACGACTATCGGCAGAGGAGAAGGCCCGGGAGCTCCTCGCTACGCAAGAAGAGCAGCTTAGATTAGCCTCGGAAGAGCGCCAGCGTCTGCTCGAAGACGGAGGAGAGGAAATCAAACGTCAGCACCAGAAGATTGCCCAGTTGGAGCGGACCGTCCGCGACCAAGAAACCGCGATGCAAGTCGACGTGGATTCTCGTGTCACGCAAGAGCAAGATAGGACGCAACGCGAACAGGAGAGACAAGCGCAGGAAGCACGTCTCCAGCAGTTTGAACGTCAGACCCAAGACATGAGAAGCCTCGTTGAAACCCTGGAGAGAAAGTCGGAAGACGCAAGAGTAGCAAGGGACGAGGCGTTGGCAAGTGTTCAACGAGAGAGAAAGGCGGCGGCGGAAGCTGTACAACAAGAGCGGGAGGCGGCGGCGGCGGCCTTTCGACGGGAGAAGGAGGCGGCGGAGGAGGCCATTCGACGAGAGAAGGAGGCAGCAGCAGAAGTGGCTCAAACCTTAAGGGAGCAGACAGTGGCCGCGCAACGAGCCATGGAGGAAGGGCGCATCAAGCAGCGGAAGCTTATTGAAGAATTCGCTCTCGAACGCGCGCAAGCCCACGAACGCGCACAGGCCACCGAGCCCGCCCCCGGGATGCCAAGTCTCCATGTCCCACGAAACCGTCATGCACCTGTATCGCCCACTCCTCATGCTCGTCGCGCTCCGGTAGCAACAAACATTGCGCATATCCCCTCGCAGCTGTTCAGTTCTCCTACAGTGCTGCGGCCTCGCGCTTTTCTCGCTCCCCGATCCCCGTTACCCCTGACCCCTACAGCAGTCAGTCGTGCAGCTCCTTACGCTGATTCCTCAGTTCCTCGGGTTTCTTTCTCGCGCATTGCTTCCTTCGCTGGAACTCACACCGTACGTCGTTCATTGAGTCTGGCGGTTTGTACGCTCACCGTCAAGTCTTAGACCGATTCCTGCGGGCTTTCAGCCACCGTTCCACGTCTTCAAGAATCCTCCTCTGAGCCAGACGCGATCACAACCGGGCACGACGCTCCCCCATCCCACAACGTTGGTATGTCCTATGAGCTGGTCCTCGCGGATGCCCCCGATAGAAGCAAAGGAGCTGCAAATTCTGTCGCCCCTTCGTCAATATCCGGAGCTTTTCAGTCTCGATGACGAAAACAACGTGATAAGAAGGCCAAACAAACCCCTGCTGCTGTGCCCACGGAGGTCGACGACGACGAAGAGATGATAGACGATGCCGAACCCACCCTCGACAAAGACCTTCACACGCAGTACCTGGTAAGTGGTCTTCAGAAGAGTGCTTGCCGCTGTCTCATCATGTTGCAGAGACTTTGTCGCATCGTCTGGAAAGAATTTGGTATCCAAGAGGACATGGCCTGGCACGCTCAGAGCTGCGCCCCGGCAGATCGTGTGCGAGCCTTCGAGCACGATCAGTCTTGCCCTGGACCCGATCTCGCCGCTCCACAATTCTGGTTAGGTACCAACCCGAAGCCCGTTTCGGCCCTCTGGAACGAGCGTATCTTCGAGGCTATGTTGGAACGCTTTCAAGAGCTGTGTCATGGTCATCAGCCGATGTTTCCTAGCGACGATGAGTCGTATCTCGTTGGCCTCATAACTTCTAAGTTCGGACGTGGCCTGGGGCTTTGGCGCAAGGGACAGCCACAGCGCGATGAATCTTATGATGATGCCTTCGCCCGCCTCAGTGAAAGCGAGAAGACTCGATTGAAGCAAGCCCGAGCCAACACTAGACGGCAAACGGTATGTATTCCGACTCGTCAGGTCGCCCGCTTACTAACGGGAATAAAGTGTCACCATCAGCGAGTCAATGCTACCATTGGCAATGAGCACGACCCCACAGTGGAGGAGCCCCGCCCTGGATACTACTCGGCGGTCAGATTCGTTCTCGAGCGGGGCGGTCTGGGGTACGGCAGCTCTGACAAATCGGATGTCGACATGGATGGGCGTGCAGTCCTGTTGAGTCACGTACCTGCCTGGCGCGCCAAGTGGGCAAGAGTTGTCTTCGGTTATGCTGACAGCGACCACCTCGATAACCGTCGAACAACCTTTATGCAGGGCGTGCAGCCGTTGAGACGGTTTGTGGGCCATGCCATCAGCAAGCGCCTCCCGCCAGGCAACCTCCCCCTCTGGTTTTACGATGCGAAATGGTATGCAGCGTTGTCTCCGGCAGAGAAGAGGCGTCTCAGTGCTACTAACGAAACAATGCCTTTCCCTTTTGACGAACTGTTGCATGTACCCTAGCTACCTCTTCTCGTCCCCCTCGTCATTCCTTTACATTCCATAGCTCTTCTCATATCAGATACCATATGAAAATGCGTGGTTATCCCCCGTCAATCATTTTGTACACCCATCCACATGGTGTGGCATGAGTCCATCGCCTGCCTCCCGACGTCCTCCGGCTTTCTTCTCTTCTCGCCATTGCCTCCTCATCAGTGTCCTGTGCAATAAAGCACCACTCACCCGCCCCCACCCTCCATAATGCGCGTGCCGACATCTTGTGCGCGGCAGAATACAAACGGTTTCGCCGAGCGCGACAGCCCTGACTTGACCACTATGTCTAGATCAAGCCCCTTCGGTCCCCTAAGGCGGAGCGTGGAGGGTTCCTTTAGCGTGCGAGGGCCGCGAGCGCTCAAGTGAAGACGCGTGGGCATAACGGGGATGCATGAAGACAGACGTGTGGCAAAAATGGCTTTCTAGGGGATACGAGTACGTGTGGGTCCGAAGGCCAAGACCCCCCGACCTATCATGTGGAACGTGCCAGTTCAGTCGCCTGACGTCATATAGGTTTTGCGGGGGTGGCTGTGCTCGAGGACGTCCGGACTGAAGCACTGGACGCTCCGGGATCCCGATCGCTGATACGGAACAGGCACAGACCGGGGGCGCATGCGCGCACCCATTGACCTATGCAGGAACACCACGCGTGTCCATGGACGTCGGGCGGCACACAATGCGTGGCCACGCACGTCCGCCACGCGGCACTTCGCCCGTTGCCCGTCCGGGAACTCGACTCGCGAACCAAGACCGAAGCACGAGGGCAACAAAATATATTCAAAGGAAGTGCTAAGGTGGTAGATACAAACCTGATCGCTAACTACTGAGACAATTACTTAGCTTCCTCGTTCTGCGGTGCTATAAGCCGTCTACGTAAGCGCAATAAGTGCGATGGCTGCGCTGTTTAGTAGCAATGCAAAGAAGAAAATTACCGTGTCGTCTGCGCGTTTTGTAAGTTACTATGTAGCACTGCCAATCTACCTCGAATGCGGCCCTACTCCCGAGACCAGTCTTTGTTGCAGAGGGCGCGCCACGCCGCGCCATTCCAGCCAGTCGCGTGGTGGCTGAGTCCGATGAAATCCGCGAGCTCCTTGCCTTTTCTGCATCTGAATGTCGGAGAGTAATGAAGAAGGATGGATTGCGATAACGTACATGCGAGCGATGTGTTCAGGGACCACGTCTGGACGTTTTTCCTTCTTGTTCCTCGACCCCTTGCCGCCGTGGGGCTGGTCGTGTTGCAAACGTTAGACACGCTCAGATATGGGGACTGCAGTACGACTTACTCTGTGGAATCCGAGCGCCGTGCCTTTCTGTATGTCGAAACGACATGCACCTGGGCGGAATGTCGCACTAATTCCGCACTTGGTGACTTCGACGCAAGCCCCGAGGCCGTCTCGGAGCGCCTGCACCAAGCACAGAGGTTAGCGGCGCGCGATAGAAGTGAGAACGGCTCACCTCGATGAGGTCCTTGCGTGGTACGGGACCCGACATAGGTCCGTGCATGATTAGGTACAAGGTCTGTGAACGGAGGTCAGAAGGGGACAGGAGAGAGGAGCGGGGCGACACACGGTGCGGTGCTCTTGAAGCATGGCGGGCATGTTGATAGGAAGTGGTAGCAGCGTACGCGGAGGACGAGTGAGGGATATGGAGGAGGAGGAGCGAGAGAGGCGGAGGCGGAGCGAGACAGAAGGCGCTGGCGTCGCGTGAGACGCGACTCCGAGAAACTCGGGATGCGATTGACACAGACGCGTGTCCCTCGCACAGGTCGCGAGTTCGATACCGTCGTTGGCCACAATGTTTTTCGGGCGGGTCACGTGATGATATGCACGAGCGCGCCGCGTCTCGCTTGTTGATGAGACGCGACTCGTGTCACGTTGAACACGGACGCGTTCTCCCTCTCCTTCTCTCACCACCGGGGCAAAGAGTGCGGTTATACCCACTCTGCCTTCACTCACCCCTGTCCACCTCACCCAAAATAAGTCCAACACGGTTCGGCGCAACATGTGGGTTGTTATATTGCTGATTCTCGTACCTGTGTCTTACGTTCTGCCCTTCAGAATCTTTACATCTTGCTGCCAACTTAGCTCCAAAAACGTTTTGTTGATCTTGGTGGGTACCTACGTCTCTAGCCTTCTACTTCCCCCATCTATGAATTACCCGGTTCTAGTTACGCCTGGGATCTTTTTCCTTCATACCTATTATCATGTGTACTGACGAAATACTTGTTTGTTATCACAGATGACCGAAGCTACTTTGCCATGGCTCATATACAGTACGTGTACATCCTGCCGTCAATGATACGAGTACACTGATATCCCGCCAGCCCTGCTAAGACGTATAGATTCGAGGGGCATGTTTACGTTGCTATCAACCCTTCTCCCGTCGATTGGCTCCCAGGCATCCCTATCAGCGACCCTCGGAACAAATTGGACTGTCGGGATATGCGCAAGGCGTTGTGGGCTGTCGATCAAGCCCCGGAGATGGCGTACATACTACGCACCAGCGTTCAAAACGCTCCCTTCCTCTCCCGCCTGTATATCGACAACAAAAAACCCCCTCTAATACAGGGAGATGGTGGATGGTCGCTCACACGGGAGCTTCGCAACTCGTGGAAAGACTTAGAAGAGATACTCTTCTTCACCTATCATCATCTCTGCGGCCTTACGTTACATCTTGCGGCAGCCAAGTTCCCATTCGACTCCGAATGGTCCCTACCTCGAGATCAAGGCTATGAGGCGGTCTACAGTTCTCGTCCGGCTGCCATACGCGCCATGTGGAAATCACAGGACGCGCTTCTTCTCCTCGCCGCCCGGTGTAGTATGACGATTGCCCTCACAAACATGCTCCCCGAAGAGACACCTCCAAGATGGCAGCGCGTGCTCCGTGAGCGCGGAATCGACCTCGCGTGGATTGACGAGTTCTCCCGTTCACCAATCGCCGATCTGTCTCTTGGAAAACGCGTAGGCGCGTTCATGGACCCTACGTTCACTCGCTGGATGGACCATATCCCATGCATGATCAAGGCCAACCTCCCCGTTTATGTCCGTTGGGGAGCACCTTCATCTGCGGCGTGGGAGGCCATGGCCACTCAATACTCCTTCTTGCAAGATTACTGGCCTGCGGATCCAATTGAACTCACCCTACCATCGATAGAGGCCCTCTCCCGCCTCCCTCGTAGGGTTGCTCATCGGCTTGAGAATAGCTTCCGGTGGCCTGACTTCCGCTCCACTCCGCGTTCTCCCACCGCAACGACGTCCGACGTCCAAACACCTCTCTCAACCCCTATGTGCGGTGCAAGGCAACGTCCTGGAGAGACCGCCAAAGAGTTCCTCGAGCGTCGCGCCAAACGCAATGAAGCTCGTGAACGGGATGAGCTTCCCGAAGCTAGAACAAAGCGTCTCGCACGTCTTGCCAAAGCGCACAGACTCGACTTTCCGACGCGCAGCTCGCATGTGTATGTATGGGCGACGGTGGGCGAAGAAAATCCTGATGCCGACCCTCAGCATATTGATGTTCCCTACCGTAGTCAAGTGGCACGCAGTGTTCGTGAAGACCTTTGGGGCCGTTACCCTAAGTCAGCGAGGCACTACGACTCTTGGGATAACGAGTGGGATCTCATGGGCGATCCCGATGATGACGACGAAGACGACCTCTTCGACCACTCAGCGCATATCTCTGAACACCATGCCTCCATCTCGCATCCTTCCAATACTCAACCTCTCTCTCAAGAGCACATGAATGCGGTCGTCGAGAACGACATGAACAGGCTCTCCCGCAAAGGGCACGTCACACAGTTTTCCCCCAACATAGAGGCGCACGACAAGATGCTGCGTCTCCGCTACAGTGTTCTCCCGTTCTCGCCTGCTCGGCCCCAAGACGACCCTTGCTACGAGAAGATCACCGTAGTTACAGCTCAGAAAGCCTTCGGGTTGGGCAACGTCACTGAGGGCCATCTGTACGGTGCCCGGCGGTTTGTGAGCTGCGTCTTCGACAACAGGCTCGATCAAACTCAGGACGTTTGGGATGTTCATCAACTCAGCAACAGTCGTCCCGCGCGCAACGATGTATCGGTATTTCAGTAGCGTACGAGATCCCAGGTCTTCTATGCACTGGAATTCAGGGCTTTGCAAGTTCGCTACGATCTCCTCGTCGATGCAACTACTGCCGTGGAGGTCCTTCGCCGATCCGACATCACGAGTCCTTACTCTGCCATCAGCTTCTTTGTTCACGCGGGCATCCACTTCCTGACTATGTGGCGTCCCCGCTCATCTTCCATTTCCCATCGTCAGGTATCTGCTACGTCAACTCCCTTCCTTGGATGGCGAGACCAGGCATGGGAAGCCACACAACGGGAGTACAAGGAGTATGAGGATTGAGTTGCGGAGTTCCTTTTAACCCCTAGGGGAGGCGCTGCTTTCCTTCGAGGCGGTATCATCTGGCGTATATCTATGGAGGTCCTCGGAGATGGTGCATTGGAGGAAGCTATCACAAGGTCTCAGGAAGGTCCCTCTTCAGATGCTCGAGATGCCTCGGCAGCCATTGTTTTGAGCCGCAGTGGTGACGAGTACCACGATGACATGCTCACCCCTGAGGAAGAGGAGTTCGTGTGCGGAACATATCTCGTCTATGGTAGGTCTTCCCACTCCTTACCATGATGTGAAACACTAATAATTCACAGTGGAGAATTTTGATACATCGTCAAAGCTTTCATGGTGGCCTTCCCCGACAACATGGGAAACCTCCGGTCTCAATTTTGGACACTGGACGCCATTCTGCGAGTCTTGGTTCAAATCTCACTTGGAGAAGATTCGTTCAGGTACGAACAAGCCTAAGAATGCGACGACTTGGAGAAGTAACATCAAATTGGAGAAAGCAAAGGTCCGGAAGCTGTCACTTAGGGTGGCCGAAGCAAATGAGGCATACCTCCTTAATGATGTAGGCATCGAGACTTTGTAAGCGGATGAGCGTTGTCATTGCCATTCTCTCGGTCTTCATTTTCGCATTTCTGTCACGTAATGCTCGTCCTTGTGTCATGCTTTTTTGCTATCCGTCATCAGTTTTCTTTGCTACATTCTATCTTTCTGGACCTCTCGTCGCCCCGCATCTCCCGCTCCGCGCCGTTCTCCCGCCGTCTGTCTCAGTTATACAATCTTCTGGCCTCCTCGATCCGTTCTTCGTGCTGCCAAGCACCCCCGCTTGCCTCGCTACCACCTTTTGTGACCACGCTACCGCTTCCTTAGTCTCTCTCTTCTCTCTCTGTATTCTTTCATATCTTTCCACCTCATCTCCTCGCCGATATGCCGATCTTATGCCCTTGCAGACTTCGTTGCTACGCACTCGTTCATGTATTTATTCTAGCATGGCTCAGTAATATTCTACAGTTTTTACGCCCTCTCTCAAAGGGCATGCCACTCGCCCAGCCAGCCATTAGTCTGCCGCCGCCGTTCTCCGCACTCCAGGATGCTCGTGGTGCACGAAAGGCTCAAGCAGACTTTGCGGACTCGCGCTGTACAGGGCGCGGTGGTGCGCGAGGGCGCTACGCATTGACCAATTTGTGTGGCCCGCTCCAAAACTAAACACGACCCCACTCGCGCTCCTGCGCGAAACCTGCCCATCGTTTTGGGGCGGCTGTAGAGTCATCTGGGATCCTCCTCTGCCCAGGCTGAGTATGTTAGTTTACGCGCACACAACGAGCGGGCACCACCGCTCCCCGATGATGCGCACCGCGCGCGGCCAAGCGCGCGCAGCGCGCATCGTACCAAACTACCGCCGACACGAACCAATCTCAACCGCACCCCCAACCGTCCGCGCGATGCACCAACCGCCCTGTTACCGACACCCGCACAAGTATCTCACCGAGACACCCGCACGCCGCGCTGACAAGACCCCGCGCGACGCGCATCGACACGCGCACTGGCCGACATTGCCGCCACCACGCCGCTGCTTGCACGCACGAAGCCCACCGACCGATAGCCTCGCCAACAGTCAAGCTCACCACACCCCCCATTGCCCCGCACACCCGAACCCTTCTCCCGCACCTCTCCGCGTCCCATGATTCCCTTCCGAACATTCTGTATTCCTCGAGGCTTCGCATTTCCCACTCTACCCCGTTTCCGTTCCCTTCGCCAGTCTCACATTACGATATCCCAGCTCCGTCTGTACCTTCTACACGCTACCAACCACCCTCCCTATGTCTCGCTGCCATAGCTTGTGATCACGCGGCCCCTACATGGCCCCTACCTTACGTTCCTTCGTCCATCTCTCTATGTTCCTCTAGATTATTCTACCTCATTTTCTCGCCGACATGCCCACCCCGCGACCGCGGACTTCGTTGCTATGATCTGTGTCCTCGCATGTACTTATTCTCGTGGCATTCGTGCTCTATCCACAGTTTCGACGCCCCCATATCGTGCGTGCTACTCACCCAAGTCCACGTCTGTCTGCCACCGCCGCCTCCGCCTTCAGTCCTCCGCCTTCAGTCCTCCGCCTTCCGCCTATCAGCCTCCCACCGCCGTCCGTCTCGCCTCAGCCTTCCCGCGGTCCTCCGCATCGTCTCCGCGCGCATCGCGCTTCCTCCTTCTCCTTCTCGCGCTCGCCTTCCCCTCTCGCGCCGGGCCGACTTCCCGTGGTACAAGCTCGACGAGCTCGCATGTGATCCCTTCGCATCCCCCTTTCACGTGCCCTCCGGCGTTAGCGTCCCATCACCGATGCACGAGATCCTTCACGCTTACGCCCACGCACTCCTGGAGGCGCCCCCAGAGCGCATCAAACCCACCCGCATCCACCCCAGATGGCGCCCGCTGCACCGTACCAGCATCGCAGCGAACAAGGAGGCCGCTCTGGCTGAGGAAGAGCGGTGGGCAACGCGCAGGGGCCTGCGAGTCTACTCGGACGGTTCGGAGGTAGACGGGGAAGTCGGGGCGGCAGCGGTCTTGGTACGGCCGGGTCGCCACCCACGGTACCTGCACTTTCACCTGGGACCAGCAGGGGAGCACACTGTCCCCGAAGCGGAGACAGTGGGCATTCTGCTAGCCCTCTACCTCGTATGGCAGGAACGCCACTCGCCTGCGAAGCGGGCGTCGGTCGCGCTCGACGCAAAAAGCGCGATCGAGGCCACAACCGGCCACACGTCGGGGCCAGGCCGTTACCTCACGGATGAGGTCCTCAAGGAGATCCGCCGCCTCCACAAGGCGCTGCCAGAGTGTAAGATCACGCTTCGTTGGGTCCCGCGCCATGTCGAGGTAGAAGGCAATGAACTGGCAGATGTCACCGCGAAAGAAGCTGCACACGAAAAGTTGTCCCACCGCACCAAACTTCCCCCCACCCTCCGCCGCCGCCCCCTCCCCGCAAATGCATCAAAGTTGACATCCGTGTACGTGGACGCCCTCCAGGCCGAGACGAAGAAGGCGTGGGCAGAGTCGAAGCGGGACCGCAGGCTCGCCACCATCGACCCGTCCCTTCCATCCCGGTCCTTCCTCAAGCTGGTAAAGGACCTACCACGCCGCCATGCCGCAGTCCTGTTCCAGCTGCGAAGCAGCTGCGTGCCACTATCCTCCCACCTTGCCACCATCAAAACCGTCACCTCCGCGACCTGCGCGTCGTGCGGGAGGGAAGCCGAGACGGTCTCGCACTTCCTCCTCCGGTGCGAGACCTTTCGCTAGTTCGTGCCCCTTCCCCCAGACCGCAGGACGCTCGTGCACCTCCTCGCCTCGCTGCAGGGCCTCCGACCCATCTTTGGCTTCCTGGACGAGACACGCCGCCTGTTCTTCCGCTTCGGGAGCCTTCGTTATCCAGAGCTGGAGGAGGACTCGGACCCTCCGGCGTGAGGAGCTACCTACCAGGTGAAAAGATGACTCCCGCTTGCTTGATCCCCGCTGATCACCCGCCCCTCACCCTGTCACCCCTGCGCGAGAAGACACCCGCGCGAAGACGCCTACACCGCCCATGCGGACAAGCACAACCCACTGCCGCCCCCTCCATCATCCTCACCAACTCACTCCGCGCGCCCACCAGCACTCCATCTCTTTCTTTCCTTCTCGTTACGCTACTACTACTACTGTACTCTTCCTAGATCTGGTCTTGCTCTCTCTCCATCCCCACTCATACATACCCCCAAGCCCCACCGGGCTCAATGGCACGCCGGCTTATGCCTGCCGGCACGTTTCGGTCCACTGTGCCTTTGGGAACACTCTTGAGGGTGCATATGCGAAGACGAACCCTCCCAGTGCTATGCGACTCTATACCTACGAATACTTTGTATGTTACGCCTACCATAGGGCTCCGCCCTCAAGAGCGATAAACGAGGATCCAAAAAAAAAACGAGCGGGCACCAGCGGGCGACGCGCCGCGAGCGGGCGACGCGCGGGCGACAAGTGGGCGACAAGTGGGCGACAAGTGGGCGACGAGCGGGCGCCCGGATTCAAAACATAACATTTCGGGACCGCCGGAATGACATACTGAATATATTGTTGCGAGGCTGACAAAATGATGAAAGGAACGCCAAATTTGGTATATGATTTCGCACACCGGGAAACTTTGAGTTCTCGGGCCGCCAGAACTTTATGTGTGAGAAAGCATTCTGCAGGCGCGGAAATGTTTCATTTTGAGGACTCGGGAACAGTGCGAGGTACATAAGGTTTCAACGCGCGCGAAATGTAACATTCTGAAGGGCTCAGAACACTGCCAAAAACACTACATTTATTGAAAGGTTTACTCATACATATCGGACGAGCAGAAATTTTGATATTCCCGGCGTGAGAGCCTGGGACCAGCCACCCAGCCCATCTCAGCGCTACTGGGCGCCTATTTTCGCTCTCAGCCACAGCCACCACTGCCAGCTACTGCAAGCCACACCCAGCCACCTAAAATTGTCATCCACAAGCCCTGGCTGCAATCCATCCACTTTGGGTGGGGCTGTGCTGCCCAATCTTTGTCAGCAGCCTCTCTCATGCCTCTCCACCATATATGGACACTGTTTGCCACTGTTTGCCCCCTTCTGCCCCTGCCACAGCTGCCACAGTGGCTGAAAGTGCAGCTAGGTGCCTATTTTGAACGCCTTTTTCAAACTCAGCTCAGCTCAGCTGGTACAGCACCTGGGTGGGGGACCCAGGAGCCTTGGGTTCAATCCCTGGTAGTGCCGCTTTTTTTCTGCATGTGGCTGTGCTAAGCAGGCCTGGTTGTAACAATGGGTATTCAGGCTTTGTAAAATCCAATCAATTGCCTAAAATCCTGATTATATTCATGAAAGCAGCTACTATAGAATGTGTTACTAATGTGCTTACTGCTTGGCTTTAAACACGTTAAATGAGGCACAGTGTAGATATTATCACTGATTCCCACCAACTTTAGATCACTCCTATGACCTCAGTTCTTATCTGTTTGGGGTGATTGTATATACATCAGAAAGCTATGTAGAAGGGCTATATGACTGCAACCCCTTTGTTCACCCTAGTCCCCCCTTCAAGTGTTCTTGCAATGTAGAATGATAGTGCATACTCTGTCTATGCAAAATCAAATACAGCACCTAAAATCTTGACGATATCCAGAAGGGCAGCTATAACACAGGGTGTTGTACTGTATTGGATTTTATCTGCATAGTATGCACTTTAGTACTAGTGTTCACAATGTTTGCACTCCTGCTATATATTCTGTTCTTGTCTGTGGTGATAGCAGTAGTGTTACGTCCGAGGGCTTATTCCAGCTGGAATACAACCTAGGCACCTTGTGGTTATGGTGGCAATGCTTAGAGCGCTTGCGTGCTATCGAGCAAGTGTGTGAGCGACAGAGAGTAAGATTGCGCGTAGTCAGGTAGACGTAGTTGTACAGAGGAGATTCAAGTCTAGGGAGGGAGCGCTCTGGGGTGTCGTCCTTATATACTGGGGAGAGAGCGGGGAGTCATATTATCTACAAGTCACCACGAGTCCTTATGACGCAGTCCCAGTCGTAGCGAGGCATTG